TTTGGAGACATGATGAAGTAGGTAGCCGGGAATGTTATTATAAGAAATGGAATCCATTCCTTCTTAAGAAAGAAGTAGATAAATAATTCTCTTGAGGATTGATTCGGTACTTGGACTAGTAGGAGCTCCAATTCATGAATGTATTTTATGAATCACTATCCATTAGAGAATCAATGGTACTCAAGGATGAATATATAATTAGAGAGGTTAACAGACTCTACCTACTCTAATTATGAATTATTTATGGAGGATTGATCTATATGCAGTGACTATATCAATTGGACACTTCACAGTTTAGAAGTAATTTATATCTATAATTTTGAGAGTGCAATTCCAAGTTTATAATAGAGTAACTATTAGAATTAATAGAATTAATTAATTAATTAAAGTGTTTAATTAATTATTAATTTTATTAGAGCTCAGAATTACAGGTCCATTAGTCCCCGCGTCGTCTTAGTAATTCTACCTGACACAAAGGGCAAAATGGGAATTTTAGAAGTATGGAATTCTAAAATTAAACACTCGAAAATAATTTATTGAGAATTAATTATTTAAATAATGTGATTATTTAAATTTAAATTCGAACACATCTAGATTTATCCATTTAAACTTATTTGATAAGTTGTTCATTTTAGAATTCAAATTAATTTAAGTTTGGCTTAAATTGGAATTTGAATTTGAGTCAAAATTGGACTACAGGATAAAGGATGATTTTCTCTTCCTTCTCTATCTGCAAATTGGCACCACACAGGGATGAGAATCCCCTAAGGTGGCCGGCCACACTAAGGATAAGGGAATGAGAGATTTTGTTTCAAATTCAAATAGGAGATAATTGACAAGTTTTATCTTGGAGATAGAGATTGGATTCCTTTTAAAAGTTTGACTTCTACTCTATAAATAAGATAATAGTAGAAATTTGGACACAATTTTTGAAACAATTTTTTGACCTAATAAAGTATTGTGGCCGAAATTCTCTTAGTAAGGGAAGGCAAAATTTTCTCTAAAAATTCCACATCGTGCATTCCTTGGTATTTGTGAAAATTTGAGTGTTTATTCTAACTCGTTTTGTCTCATGTGTGCCCACACACATGTCTTCGTGGATTCTAAGAATTGACGTCGAAGACATTGGTTTTCTAAATACAAAGCTTTGGAGCAAGGATTGTTCGAGGTCAAAGAACTCAAGTTATCATCCTAATCGGCCGCTAGGTATTATTCGTGAATGAGTTCTTAATAAATAAATTAATGTGATTAATTTATTCGTGCATAAATTAATATAATCTATAGAGTATCTCAAAGGTTTTATGAAATTTTTTTTGTTATACACGATCCGCCTCCCCCACACTTCCGCATCCAAATTTGATTCGGCAACCAACAATTGGTATCAGAGCGGTCTATAGACTATATTAATTTATGCTCCGATTATTTGATAATCAAAATTAATATATTAAATATGTGATATTTAATTATGTATGTATGTGATGGGTAGGTACTTACATTTATGGATGTTTATATTTAATTCATGTTGATGAATGTATGGATGATGAATTTGGTCGTTAATTATATGGTTGCATGGATGGCATTAAATTCGTTCAAATTAAATTATTTGTAATTTAATTCAAGATTAGAATTATTGTAATTCTAAGATTTAGGTAGAATTAGGGTTTTGATTTTGAATCAAAAGGAGGCCTGGAAGATCAAGTTTTAACCCTTTGAAGCTGCCCAGAAACCGTTCCCAGAAATCAGGCCAGCGCGCGGCCAGTCCGCGTGCGGGCACCCAGATGCAGTCAATGGGCCCCAAACGGGCCCAAGGGTTTTTGAAACCCTTGTAATGCGTGCCAACGGACCCGGAAGAGTTCTGAACCCCGAAGATAGTGAAATCCGACCCGAAGACGAAGAACGAAGCCAAAGAATGAAGAGTTAAATAATCGAAGACCCGTTGATGTAACGGAAGAAAATAATTATTGTAATTATTTATTTATTCGATTTTGTTGTAATTTATTTTTTCCATGGGACCCGGTCAAATCCATCTCAATAGCCGATTGCATATATTTATATTTTATGTTGATAATTATATATTATATGTCCATGCATATAACATGCCATATAAATATATTGTGCCTACTCATATGTTTTATAACATGCCATGCATACACGCGCAAATAAAATAAGAATCATGCGCTAAAATTGATATAATATGATTAAATTAATTTAAGTTGCAAAATTGATTTGCA